AATTCGATAAAAATTTTTTATTTGAATTATTATAACTATCTATAGAATTCAATAAAAAAATTTCATCAAATTTTATTAGGTGGTTTTTGAGATATCTTTACTAAAAGTTTTAGGAAAGATATTTTTAAAAACTTTGAACGAAGATACTTTAGTAACCACTTGAACAAATTTGATAAAAATTTTTTATTTGAATTATTATAAATATTTATAGAATTCAATAAAAAAATTTTTATTGAATTTATCAAGTAGGTGCTAAAATATCTTTGCTTAAAGTTTTAGTGCAGCCTCTATTTATGATAACAATACAGTATTGTATTTTTTTAAAAAAAAGACTTCGAGCGATAATATCTCATCAACCGTCTGATTAAATTCAATGTTTTTTTTATTTGAACTCTATAAATTCATAAAATGCAAAAAAAAAAAAATCATTGAATTTGATTAGATAGTTGCTGAGAAATCACAACATTCATATACAATTAATTACAATCGAGCAATCGGGCATGCAGTGACCTACAGATTTTATCAAAAATAAATCTTTTTGCAAATAGCGATAATTGGGTTCTAAAAATTACAATTAAGTGCCCCCACAATCAATTATTCAGTAGGCCTGTATGATAGTATCATATAATAACAAAAATAGATTACTCATTTGTCTCTAGATAACACTTATTTCATTTCTGCTTTCAAAATTTTAAAACAGAAATTTGGCATTTTGTACCTTCTTATTTTCGAAATAAGTTAATTATAAATTACTCTAATATCAATATTGCAGCAAATATTTGAATTTGCAAAAATAGATATTACTGTATTTTCGTGCAGAGGTGTAGTTTCGAAATTTGGCTGAATTAAGCTTAATTTGGGCTAAAAATTCAATATAATACCCCTGTGCATTATTTTGTGAAAATACGGAAGTGACAAATTAAAAATTAATTAAATGGATGATTCTTAGGTTATCATTGACCACTGCTAACAGTATTCCCAAAAATAAAACCTCATTATTAAGATCTGGGTACTAATTTAATAATATTTTCTCAAATATAAAACCTGGTTTCTTCCACCTAAATTTGATCTAGTTCAACTTTATAATCTAATAAGTGCAAAAAACTTATTTATTAATTTCTTGTATAGGTATTAGTGAAATTAAAATAAAAATCACTTCATAGTTAGGCGATTATCAATTATCGTGTTATCTTTGTGAAGTTTTAAATTATACTACTATCAAATTTTTGATAATATTTGAACACCTTGTGTTCATTCTTTTTAATGCCAATTTCTTATTGGCAGTTCTGTGACTATGAACCACCAAATTGGGCTTGTGTATAGAATTATATCTCATGAAAAAGTTAAATATAAGATTATTAATTGATATTGAATCTTACCAATTACAAGTTCTTAGTTTGCTTACATATAATATTTTCGGTCTAATTTTTTTGATTACAGGATTGCAATGTTACAGTTTAAATAGATTATGTATATGCGTTTAAATAAAATTTTAAATATCAAAAATAACTTCATGTATTAAATTTCATTAGATTTCATTGAACCTCACTAAACCTCACTAGATCCCCATCCAGTGATAAAAAAATATGACTAGAAGGGTCATGTGACAACTTACTCTGGAATCTAAATATCTTCTAGTTTTATCTAGTTAGTTCCAACTATTCTTCCATTTTCAGTGATCTTCATTGGACCAGTCTAGCAACAATACTGCTCTAAGTCATCTGATGAAGCTTGTAAAATTGTGAGGATTAGGATTCCTGTCTATTCCTCTATGTTTAAAAGTTTGATGGATTAATGATAAAATATTTTAATTTTACTGAACTAATATATTGTTTACTATGAATGTATTCTATAAATCTATAAGTATTTCATTATAACTCAAGATTCTTAGCTATTTTACTTTGTCCAAAATAATATTATAGCTAGCATCTTATATAGTCGATTATTTTATAGTCACTTAAAAAATATTTCATAAACTAATTTATTAGACTGCGTACTTTTTTTTTATTTTATTGAAAAAAATTTTTATAATACTACATGACTTTTTTTTTAAAAAAAAAATTTATAAATATACCAAACACTATATCATTATGTGTACACATATAGTACATTGTGAAAGGTGTAACTAACAGGTTCGGGGTTAAAACTAACTAAAACTAACTACTAACACACTAAAACTAACTATCAAGGCTCTAAAGACTTCTAAAACCCTCAAAATAGTAGGCCAAAAGAAGCATAAAGAGACTTGGTCTGAAGTTCGAGGCTTCTGGAGTCTTACTGCGGTTGCTGCAGTATAACTGGTGACTTGGATAAGTAATTCTGCTTATTGTATTAAGTTTTCTGGTATTTAAGGTATTAATTTAGCACTAATTATCTCTATAGTCTTTATGAATATACTGCTTAATTCTGGTTATAGGTGACGAAATCGATGTGACTGCGACAATCGGGCCTAATGATCTTTTCGTGCCACATTACAGAAAAATTACGTTAATTGATCAATTGATTGTTAAACTAATTTGCTTTAACAATAGATCACAGGGTGGTCCTGTAGATTTGTTCAACTCTATAGGGCTCGAACAAATAATATATTCTAGTGGCAGCTTTGATGAAGTAGTTTTATATTGGCCCGACAAAGTTGCCTTTTCAGCATCGATTGTTTCCTCTTTCTCGGGCCTTCTTTATTGCATCATGGGCTAGAAATAATTAGATTTGTAAATTCTGGTTGACACTATAAGAGCAAGGATCGGGAAATACACTGATAGGTTCTATAGCCAAGAGGTTTTCCTTAATATGCGCTATGTCTGTAGTCTTTTTTTTTTTGAATAAAAAGTTCTTTTGAACTATAGTTTTACTAATCATTTTTTCTTCTATTTTATATTTCTCTTATAATAAGCATTCAACAATCTTTTATTCATAGAATTTACTAACACTCGGTCTTCTAAATCGTATAGCTTGTAGATACTATTTATGAAAACGTTATGTTTATAATAAGGGCCCTTCCATAGCAGTATGAACTTATGGCTATGGGTTCCAATTCTCCTTGCATTATAAGAAAATACTTTTCTCTAATTTTAAAAGCAGGTGTGGCTTTAATATGTCAATCATGATCTTCTTTTTGTTTGTATTGCTGGGCTTTAATGCAATCTAAGGCTTGCAACTTAGCTGTAGGTAGATCATTTTCTATTTGGTACATCCTTTGGATGATCATTTCATTTAACAAATTGTTTGATTCACTAGGATGGACAGGCAGTTTGGCAGTCTTGCTATACAAAAGGAAAAATGGCGTTTGCAAAGTAGTACTATACTTTGCGGTCCTAAACACAAATAATACCAGTGGAATAAATAAGTCCCATTCAGTGGAATTCTCAATCAGCTTCGATTGAGGTGCATAATGACTTGTTGAATCTTTCAACAAGTCCATTGGTCTGCGGGTGATAGAGGCTTGAGTATTAATGCTTTATTTGTAAGGATGCGAGTAAGTTATTTATAAGCCTATTTCGAAAGTAGAACCCCTATCCGATAAGAGGTATATTAGGCATCCATGGCAATATACAATGTCCTTGTAGATAAACTTTGCCACCTTTTTGGCTGTGTCCCTTGGAATAGCACATGCTTCTGGCCATTTTGTCATATAGTCAGTGGCTACTACAATATAACAGTTTGCACGTGATGTTATTAGAAGTGGGCCGACTATATCAATACCTACTCTGTGAAAAGGCATCCCTACTGGTATAGGGTGTAACTTTTCTTTTGATTTTTTTCCCTTTGTAGTTGACAACATGTACAGGTATTAACATACTGCCTTATATCACTATACATTTGTGGCCAATAATAATGGTCCCAAATTTTATTAAATATTATCTCTGTTCCCAAATGAGCTCCTGTGGGATGGTCGTGGGTTTGGGTTAAAATAGGTTCTAATTCGTGTTCTTGTATTACTTTTAGGAGTCTGTCTTGTTGTTGACAATCTTTTTTATATAGTTGGCCTTCCTTTGCTGTGTAGAACAAGCTCTGGGTCTTTAATTGTTTTTGTTGATCCTGGGAAAAATTCGACAGACATTGTTTATATAGTATATAGTTTTTCAATATTATATATCGTTGTTGTTCTATTCTAATGTCTTAATACCAAGATACCAACGATATAGTTTGGATTGAGTTTAATATCAGGTTTAAATGCACTTTGGGTCATTTTCCAATAAGTACACCTGTTTCGCCTTTTCAGGAAGGTTTCCTCCTTCAATTATTTCCCTTTTAAGCTTTGTGTTTTGTAATTGAAAATCTTTTTCAAAGTTGTTTAACTTCGTTATTTTTTTGGTTCCCTTGATAGTATTTAACAAGTTCCTAGTAGCTTTCGGTTCTAGTTAATAATTTCCAATTCCTCAGTTTCGTCAATGTTCAGTTTTTTCAATTCCAATTCTATTTTGATAACAATGTCTAATTGTTACCATTAACAATCAATATTCTCGAATTTCTTCCTCAGTGAGGTTAAGTTGTTGACTTGTTGATAAATCTTTGATCTCGTAATTTACTTGTCAGCGTTGAGATTGTTCCCATATCTTGATTGAATCAGTAGCATATTGTATTTTTCTTCAGGAGTATAGATTGATAGTTTCTTCGACATATCTAATCCCTTTGTATAGGCATTTTTTCGCATAGTATTTAAAGCCAGTAATAGTTTTTCCTGTGAATAGGGCCCCACAACTCGCCTTATTCCATCCTAACCAACCATACTCTAATGTCAGATCTGTTTTTTTTGAGTTTTTTTTTTTTTTTTTTTTTAATATCTATATATTTTCTTCGTATATAATCACACAATCTCAGAGACATTATAGTCTATGAGCTCATAACTATAAATGATACTAATATATATTTACATTTGTATAATTATCATAAATATCATTAATACTTGACTTATTCTATAAAGTGTGTAAGTTCCATCTTTCTTAATTACTTCTTTGTCAGATGAATATTCACAATTCCTACTGTGAATCATAATATTCCCATTCTTTTTATGTGCTAGAGACGGAATTGGTCGAGGATTAGAACTGTTTCCAATCTTCAGGATTAAAATTAGTCTCGAAGTCCATTTCTTCTTCACTAGTGTTTCACCAGCAATGGTCATGGCCTAGATAGGTATTATAGTATCCATACCAGTATCTTCATAGCTTTTGTCATCAGTATTCAATTCTTCTTCAAATGTAGAACCTTGTATAGTATTATTTTATAAAGAGGCATCGAGTAAGTAGGCTTCATCAATGTTCATATTTTCTGGTTCATTATTTTCATCTTCTGGTTCACCACTTTCTTCACACATATTAAGGGAGCTCCAAGTTATTTCTCTTCTGAATTCTTGTCTCAGTACATTTCATTTAACAACTATATAAAGGGCTATATAATTTATACTTAGATTAATTTTAGTAAGAAGCTTGATAAGCAACCTAATAAAAAGAGATTTATCAATTAAGTAAATTAGCACAAATAAGAAATTAATAATAAACATATTTCAGTGGTTTGATTAAAAAAAATCATTGTCTATTGGCTAAATTGACTTGAATAAAAGTGCAGATAATAAACTAATAAGAGGTGTATACATTGTTTATTATAACTATTGTTATACTTGCCAGTTAAATTAATCTAATTAAAAACTTAATAAAAAGAAATCCATATTATTTCACCAACAATCACTTTATAGATACCACATTTTATTTTACCAATAGTCTATTTTACTGAAGCTCTTTCAATAGGCTATCAGTAAAATGTGCTTTCTAGTGGTGAAATGTAGTGTCTATGAGGGGATTGTCAGTGAATTGATTGAATCTCAATAAAAAGTGGCCTATTTGAAAGTTAACAAGAAATAATATGTTATTGGCTATCAATTTT